CATAAACGTGGAAGGAAAAGAAATGAATAGTTGGGCCACTAAACAAATAGTGGGAGTTCAATCAAAGCCATGCAAAGTGACACGCGTCGAAAACAATAGGAAAAACTGACCTTCATATCCAAGACTGGCGAAAGGACAATTTTTAGGGGCAATTTGTTGGCTCCTAATTTTCGACGCTAGTCGAGACCGGATGTATCTTAGGTCAAAGTTACCAGTATTTTGTATGGGGGGGGGGGGGGGGGGGTTCGACCCAAACAAGGAAAACTTCAAGTCGAAGAAAGATGGACCAAGGTGCCAAAAACGCTAAGTGTTGGAAAACGCTCGACGAAGACCATGCTAAGGAAAACACGAAGACGGTTTTGCCATGTTGGAGGGAACTGCCAAATATTCAAAATTCAAATCAAGCAAAAGAGAACGTGTGAGCGGTTGGACTAGCAAAGAAGCGCCAAAAGAGCATGTTAAAAAGTCTCAACCGCCATGTAGTAGTTATTCTATAGCACTATAAATAGGTGTTAATTTTATGTAATAGATGTGTCCATTCATTTTGTACTAGTTCATACAACTCAGAGTACCCGCGTGTAGAGAAACGAGTTAACGAGAATGTACGTGATACAACAACAAATCCTTTCTTATCAATGCAATTTATATTTACAATTTACTTGCCATTTTTAAACTTTCAGTTTTACATTTAAACTGCTCTTTACAATTCTGCTGCACATTTACTTTTCAAAGATCCCCTAGTCGAACGTGGAGTTTTGATTAGAGTTATTTTACAAGCTATTTACTTACTTGCATTTTTATCTTTAAAAGTCAGTTATTTCTCAAAGGAATTACAGTCGAACGTGGAGTTTGGCGGTAGTCTCTTCGCCTTTACATTATAGTTGTTATTTTAAAGCCTTTAACTTTCAACTTTACTTTTTAAAGCTTCTACCTCATTGCACTTTACATTCTTGCCTTTACTTTCGACGCATTACTTGATTTTTTTTCTTATTTATTGTTGTTAACCCTTAAAGGATTTCGCATTTCTAAGAGGTGGTCTGGTCGAAAGTAGAATTTAACTTAAAATCCCTTACTTACTTAGCACATGTTCTAGGATTTAGTATGGTCGATCATGCGAGTTAGTCAATTTTAGCCCAAATTGATAGACCAGCGGTTGTTTACCAAAATTCACAGTAAACACGCCGCCATTGGGTTCTTTCCTTTGTAGTTGGGGGACACCATATACCCTTTTGACTCAGCGCTCTTGTGGAGGCCTTCGCCTCTCTTTCCAAATCCAGAACTTTCCACTTTGGCCTTTTACTCCCCTTCTTGGTTGCAAGGGCCATCCACTTGTCTCGCGGGATATCCGACGGAGGCACAAAAGTCTTAGGCCTTGCCGGCTGAAATAACTTTCGGTACCCCTGATTTTGTCGAGGAGTCCTATCTTTGTCGAACACGTACCTTGAGACGGGTGGTCTGTCTGACTTGACTCTGTCCACCGCTTTCTGGTCGAACACCGCATGACACCTGGGACAAAGGGCGACTTTATAGCCGCTGACTTTGCATCTTTCTTGGAATTCAACTAAGCTTTCCCCAGCTTGAGGGTAGATACCCTCAAAATCCTCTTTTGTCTTTTTGTCGAGACCCTCTGTAGCCTCGATCATCATGCATTCTAGGATTGGGATTGTCATATGTTCCTTAAGGCCCTCAATAGCCTCGATCGTCATGCACTCTGCCACTTCAGAGTATAGTGCTTCCTCCGTCTTCAGAGGGTTCGCATCCACTTGCATCTTTGGTCTTTCCCCAAACTGGAGCCGTCCTTCCTTTAAAGCTTTCTGCACCAAATCCCTGAAAAGAACACATTGAGCTGTCTTATGACCAAGAAAATTGTGAAATTTACAGAATCCTCTCTTTTTCTTTTGTTCTAGAGGGGGATTTTTCGTCCTGATCGGGATGACAATTTGACCGTCTTTGACCAATACATCAAATATCTCTTCACATTTGGATACATCAAAAGAATATGTTTTCGCAACATATTTGTCCGTTTTTTCCGTATCGACCGAATTCTTTTCGTTCGACGACTTTAGAACTCTGCACACGTAAGGGGGACCAGGTTTTAACTTAGCCACATTAATAGCATTTTATTCGACGAAATCCTCGTCGTCAGATGAATATCCATCGGTGGCTACAAACGCAACCTTTTCTTTCTTACGATACCGACTAGCCTGAGATTTCTCGCTCCTTAAACGTTCGACCTGTCGGACGCGGTCGGCCAGTTGTGCCATGTCTCTGAGGTATTGTGTATCCAGTTTCTTCCTAATGGAATAGTCTAGACCTCCCGCGGCCATTTTCACCAATTTGTATTCAAAGACTTGTGTAAAGCATCACGCTTCTAGTAGTCTGAACCTGTTCAGATATTGGTTTACAGACTTCGCTACTTTTCGTTTCACGCTGGCTAATTCCTTTAAGTTGATATTTGATTGTCCCATGTAAAGTTGTTCGTGGAACAATCTTTCTAACTGTGTCCACATATGAACCGACTGTGGGGGCCACAAGGTGAACCACGTGAACGCGTTTTTGGTGAGGGAAATAGGAAAATATTTCATTTTCAAATCTTCGTTATTTGCTATGTCCCGAGCTTCGGTCTGATACCTAGCAACGTGTTCGAAGGTGGACTCCTCCGTTTCACCTGCAAACTTGGTGTACTTTGGCACCTTTCAACCCCTTGGTAATTCTGTTTGCAATAAGAAATCCGGTAGAGGGACGTGTAGGCGGGCCGTCGAAGACTTGGGTTTGCGCCGTTTCGAACCATAATGCGCTCGACCATGGCCTCTAGGTTGGCTTCACCCCCAAGATTCTTGTTCCTAACTTGTCTGACTACGTGGTATGGATCTTGGTTCCTGCGGACCATCACGATGGGGGGCCTTTGGGACACCCTGGGAATATGTTCGTCCTCAGACGCTTGTAGGTCGTTCCTCTCTTCGACAGGCTCATTCTATCGGACAGGCATGTCGGGACGATTGGGGGGGGGGGGGGGGGGTTGTCTTGCTGCGACCCTAGGGGCCCTTAAGAAGTCTCTTATTCGTTTTATCTGAGTTGCCAGTTGTTGGTAACTCTGAGTCGAATCTTTTATTAATGGTCTCAAAATAGTGCCCATTTTTTGGGTCAACATATGTATCATCTCGTGATTGCTTTTGTCCATCTGTTGTCGCATAACCACGACAGAACTAGTGGTGAAAGCCAGTATTGCGGTGGGAAGTGAACCAAAACATGGTGGCCTTCCCCCATGTTGGGTCAGGGGACCTAGGTTTTGATATGGCGAGAATGCTGACGAGGAATTATCTCCCGTGCCTACCCCACCATAGCGCAACGTTGACATAAACTCTGTCGGCATCCTTAAGTGTTGGGGTGCTGGCATGGTGAAACTGTGCAAGTATTGCCCTTCGACTCCTGTAATCACGGGTCTTGCCTCGGGTCGACTCGGAGTCACGAATGGCCCGCTGTGAACGGTCGAAGTGATTATCGTGGTGGATCCGGTGCTCAGAGCCGTCCCTGGTGATAAAACTGGATTTTCCTGCGAAGACGTTTCTTCGTTTTGTCTCGGTGTTACCATCTTTCCACTACGTAACTGCATACACCCAAACCTTTGGGTCTCATCGGGCGTGCCAATTTGTTCGCACGTGTTTTTCGCGCGGACAACCTCTGATCTCCTGTCGCGGGTTTGCTTCCGGGACTCGCCAAACTAGTCTCGTGACTCAGGTACTGGGTGGATTGTTTACTTAGGATTTATGGCGCACTCAAGGGTTGTTTGCTTTTGGGAGTGTGTATGGTGAAATCTTAGGCAAGTAAAGACAAAGACGTTACTAATAAAACAAAGAAATGCTGAAAAAAGTAAAAAGCGTTGCTTTCAATAACATAAAGACTTGGTAAATTTAGCGTAAAAAAGAAAAGTACAACTGGACGCATTCGTACATTTTGTAATGAAAAGGGAACTCTTTTCTCTTTAGTGTGTGGTACTCAGAGTGTTTTTCTTCAAATGTTGACAAAAGACGCCCCTTCTTCAAAACCAGGCTTTGCTTTATATAGGAAAATAAAATAACTGTCAGGATGCTTCAGGAGCCGCCACGTGTCACACCACCACTCTTGTAACTTCTCCCACGTTCCTTTTGTCAAATTTTATTTCCCGCCAGGCACCAAAACTCCTCTGTGGGATGCCTTTGTTTGTTTTTTGGTCGACCGACGTAGGTGTCGACCATGCCGTTCCCCTTGTGACGTCGACTTATAGTGTGTTCCTTTTAGATTTGTCGTTGTTGAGCCTTGGCTGTCAATATTGTCAGGATGCTTCCTTCCACCTAAGGACATTGTCGGTTGGTGCTTATTTCTCCCTCCTCCTGTCAAGGTCGATGATTTTTCTGTGGATCTTTTCAATTGTCTAATTTTCAGCCAACACCTTTATACATCTCTTAATTTAATTTCTTTTAAGAAAATGATAGCTTAAAGTGTAGGCCCTTTTCGTCCACTTATTACTATATTTATTCCTATACAGAAGCCCCTTTAAAAAATTGTCCGCATGTAAGTTATACTTCTAAATTTTAAATATATTTCTTTAAACCTGACTAATGTACCGGGTGATGGGAAGTCAAAATGGATCACAAATCTTCTCCAAAATAATATTTTTGTAATATCTATATAAAAATAATAATACATTGAATAATCTTAAATCTTAAAATCGATTAATTTAAAAGATCAATCAATTCTATCATAACGGAAACAAAAGTAAAATAAAATAACTTTTATAAATTAACATAAAAATTGATAGCAACCACACACACATATATATATATATTTTTTAGGTTGACATATTATATATTTCAAGATCGTATAAAAAAAATGTTTGATGGATTTATAACTTTCATTATAACTTAAAAAAACAAAACAAAAACTAAGTTGTGAAATCAACTTGAGATAAGTGACAGATTAACAAACTACCATAACTGAAGTTGAGAACACATGTTTTGGATCTACAAACGAGAAGGTTGAGAATTAACAGGAAAATATGAAACAACAATAGGAGCTGAAGATTTCTTAATATCCCCTTTGGGTTTTCTTGACAAAGAACCTGCTTCCACCACCACATGATTGTTTCTCTTGTCTTCTGCTTCCTTAGACTTGAAGCAGCAGAATATGTCTGAGAGTATACTCATGATTTTTGTGTGTGATGATTGATATGAATGAACATGTTTTTGTGGAATTTCGGATATATATATAATGAAAAAAAATGAAGGAGCAGGTGAATATTTTAATGTATTTTTATATTTTAAATTACATCCTTGCTCACCAAGTATTTATTTTTGTTTGGCTTCCAAAGCAAGGAAAAGAGTCAAGTGCATGCTAAGACTATGACTATCACATTGGTAATTATCATATATATAATTATTCGTCCTTTATGACTTAATGGTGTTATTGTAAGACTTTTGGACTAAAGTAAATATGTGGATTTGCAAAGGCTTAAAAATAAAAGGAGAAACAGCTTATGCTTTTGAGTGATACTATTAATATTTCAATTCAATTATATATAAAAATATATATATATTTCAACACATTTCAATTCAATTATTAAAACAAAATATTTTAAAACCTATTTTGGATTCACAACTCTTATACCGCAACTAATAATTGAGAAGAGCACGAAACATGCTCAAAGAGATTACGAATTAATCAACTACGCTTATTAGGGTAACTAAACAATCAAGTTACTCTTATATACTAAATGTTTTGTTAAAAGTGTAGAGGTTAATGAGTTTAGAAATGTGAGATAGACAACATAAGTCTGCTCAGGTATATAGCAAGAGTCATTTCTAATGTTGATATGCTCTTTTAACAATCAAGTTCTATGGAGTAAGATTAAGAACAATGAGGTGAAAATCGTTTTTTTTGTTCCAATGATTTTGTGGCAACCAATATACTAAAGTTAGTGAGATCTTTGTATCTTTTCTTTATTCCTTATGGGAGTAATATATTCCTTATGTGACTTGAGTTCCGTCCCTTATATTCCAAACAATGGTGGTTTTCTATCAACCTGATGTAATTCAATTGTAAGATTCCTGTTTCTTTTCTTGGGTTTTAGGTTTCTTGATGTTTGTCTAAAATGGAGGCTTCTTGGTTGATGTGTATTCTATAAATTATGTCAAAAGATATGAGTGATCTAAGTAGAATTTATTCATACTACATAATAAGATAAATGTCTGAGGGCACATAAAATAGACCTTTCGTAACAACAATTTTACAACGTTTATAGTGTTAATAGTTTATTTTTGGACGCTTGAATTTTTGTATCATGATAGAAAGGTAATTGACCTTGTATATCACCACATTTTTTGTTTTCAACTATGATGAAAGATGATACTTATTTATATATAAGCAAAATCATCTCTCACTTCAGTACATAACAATCGTGTCTCTCAAAACAAATTTCTAACAACTCTTTCACTCGTCTCTCTTAAAACGAAATCCTAACAACTCTATCACTCGTCTCTCTCATATGAAAACTCTCAAATGAAACCATAACAACAAATCTTATCCAATGGGTATTTACAGGTTCATTTTCTCTATATTTTTTGTTTCAAAACACATTTCAATAGCCTGTTTCATGATGTTTGAAATCTCTTCTTGTTTTGCCTTGTAGGTAGGGGGCTTGTTTCAATACAGAGGACGAATTTAAAGTTAGCGTTGCAAACTTGTAGGTAGGGATGTTAAATTTGCGGATCTAACTTTAACTTCATCCTTATTTCATTGTGGACACGCCATTATGGGACATGTATGTTACGTTTTTGAAGCATTATGTGACTTGGTATGTATGTTGTATCGTGTTTGTTATTTATGTTTGTTGTTGAATAATGTAATTGTTAATGTTGGCTTAAAAGATGAGTTTATTATATATTATGTAGTTTGCGTGTTTTTTCAATCCCTTATCGAATGTATAACTTTTCAAACTGCATTGAAAAATTATGATATGATAGATAAAGTTGTATTAGAAAACAAGTACACGTTCAATTCATGACAATAATTCTTTAAACCGTTAACTGTGTGTTGTTCTTTGACAGTTAGAACTTGGTTTAATGGTTGTAGGTCTTCAACCACCCATCTCTCCACATCTAATATTGTTTGTAAAGTAAATAATATTTTGCAGAAAGAACTAAAGGTGAAGGCAGGGGCGGTTGAAGAATTAGAATCATTAAACCAAGTTATTACTATCAAATAACAAAGTAATTGTTGTAGTAGGTAGCGCGCTACATAGATACAATCATGGTCACATATCCGTGGTGGAAATAATCATACATCCAATTACATCTTACCTCACAACGTTTGAACCAGCATGGTAGTATCCCTTTTTCAACCATTGTGATATGTGTTTTCCGTGGTAGTGCCAATATTGATCTAGACAGGGTGACACAAATTATGTTTTATGCTCAATATATACACGAGGGGAAATAGATAATTGTACACATAAATATTATCATATAAAGGTTTTATCAAATCACATGGCATTTTTGTGACTTAGATAACACTGATATGTTGCTAGATTCCACTCGTTATTTATTATATTAAATATGTTAGCATAATTGTCAACATCACGAGAATCTATAGAGTCACACACATAAGAACAATTTGATGGTAGAAAATGAATAAGTCAAACGTATTCGATTTTATGATCTTGCAATGCACTAGCGTTAATTAGAAAAATATGGAACACCAGAAGTTAAAATGTTCTAAAGTGCAATATTAAACACATTAAGGAACAATGTACTTAGGTAAATGTGAAACATCATAGGGTACGAAGAACTTAAGTTAAATACAATACATCATAAGGTAGAACATGCTTAAGTAAAATATGGTACATCGTAAGATACAATATGTTAATTTGGCTTGTTCAACTTGCAATCCACACAAGCAGTTCTATAAATAGAACCTTTGGCGGATGTATTTGAACTTTATAAACTTCTGTTTATATAACCTTAATTATATATATATATATATATATATATATATATATATATATATATATATATATATATATATATATATATATATATATATATATATATATATATATATATATATATATATATATATATATATATATATATATATATATATATATATATATATATATATATATATATATATATATATATATATATATATTTCAAAGTCTTCATTCATGAAATCTAGCACTAAGATTAAAGATACTCTATTTGTGTGGAATGAGTATAGGTGTTGTTGTTAGTTCAACGCTCGTGATCATTCTCTGAATTCTGTATCAGCGGTTAATATCCACAAGAGGTAACCTTAATCATGTTCGTTCATAAGCATAAACTTAAGGGAAATTTTTATTGTTGCGTATTTTAATTTGGGGTTTCCATTCAGGTCATGCCCATAGATGTGTCTAATTGTTTTCTGATCATTCTTAAGTATTCCAATTAGTACTAGGATCGTATACCATTTACTTTCAATAACACTTGGCTAGCTCATATTAATTTGATTGAACTGGTCCAATTTAGCTTATTAACTTTTCTGACCTTCAATTGGAAAGCTTTTGAGTTCAAATAGAAGCTAAAGCTCAATAAAGGGGTTCTAAAAGTCTGAAATAAAGAAAATTATTTGGGGTTATCGTCCTTCAAATAAAAGACTTAATAATTGTCAAAAATACATAAAATACATAAAAAAATTATTAACTTAATTTGCAATTAGTCAATTAAAAATCCCAAATTTTTATTAAAACAATATAAAACAAGTGTACGAACTTTTTAACTATGTATTCACTAAGTACAAGTAAAATAACCAAGAAAACACAAAAACCAGCAAAACAAAAACACATTCTAAGAAGACATGCTCGATAAGCAAAGTACAAGGGTTTGCTAAGCGGGCAGAGGTGACATGACATGACTTAAAAGCCAAGTAATTTCAAGATTAAGAAGCAAAGCTCAGTAAGCACAAAATAAAACTCTCTAAGCAAGTTATAGAGGTTTGTTTCTTACTGGTTCGATAACTTCAGCGGTAAGCAAGAATTTTTGTGCTAATTGAGTTTGGGCGGTGCGCTAAGGAAGGTATAAATGGGAAAGGCCCCTTGGAGATAAGTCAGTACGATTTAATAAAGAAGAAAGTAGGTGAACTCAATGAGCTACAAGCCTATCTTAGCGAGAAATCCATTTCAAAACCCTATAAAAGGTGGTGCCATCTAGTTCAGTGGAAACAACTTCGTGCTTTTTTTGGTAGAGACTGAGAATATTTCATTTTAAACCAAAATCATAACAGGAGAGGAAATGAGAGGAAGATTGAGGGCAGAAGCGCTGTTTGAGGAATCGTCATTGATACTTTTCAATGTCTTTTTTTCTAGGTATTAACTTGAAAGCTACAATGAGTAAACATAAATAATTTCATCGATTGTGATAATGGTGTTTTATGTAGTTCCCATGCTTTAATATTTATGAATTATTTGTGTTTAATGCTTGTTTTGGATCAACTACCTAAAACATGTTTCCATGTTTGGTACCTGTCCTTACTAGATGCAAGATTTTCTTATACTAGATGTTAAACACTATAGATATATTTAGGTTTAGTATATGCATAAACTATCAAAATTTAAATATATTGTATTGGTTAATAGGTTTAGAATTCATCTATTGAGTAATACAATTTATATCACATTGTTTGTTCATACATGAGCTACAAGTAGAGAGATGAATGGTATTATTAATAGCTAATTAGAATTTCATATTATTGATCACGACCATACATATGGATAGGTTGATAAAATCTAACCACAACAGGTTTTCTCAACTGTTAAAATTAAAGTTCAATTTAGTTTTTTGTTATTTTAATTTCACAAACAAACAACCTTTGAAAAACCATTCTTAAAATCACATAAACTATTGAACTGTCTTTGAAACTCAATCAGTCATTGCGGAGATGATTAAAACATACTCATTGTCCTATAGACAACAAAATAGGGCCCTTTTAAAGGGTTGACGTTAGTTTTTAAAGAAATTACGATATGTTTGATCATTTTAAGTATTCTTGTAAAAAAAATTCTAATGTATATGTAGGTGTAATTATTTTAACTGAAATTTTGACACTCTAACACATATTAATACTAATGTCCTCACATCAGAACATAATGTCAAGATAGATGTTACAACATCTT